GGTGGGGAGCAGTATCAACTGTCTTCATTCGGAGTACCCACGGGCACCCGTGGAAAAGCCCTGCACTCTGCCAGGCGTAGATGCTTCAAGGTGAACAGGAGGGCTTCCCTTATAGGCTGCTCTGGGTATGAATCAAAGTGGCACTGGCTTTATGAGTAAGTACTAACGGATGTCACCCCCACACTGGGGGCCAAACCCAGGGGTGCTCCAGCGCCAGGCTACACGCACTTCACCCCTTTTACTTGGGGACAGGGTCTCGCTGAATTGCCTGGGTGGGACTAGAACTTGCGATCCTTGCCTTCCATGTCCTGGGATTGCAGGAGTGGGACACTGCCCAGGTTAGAGAGGGTGGGAAGAATGCGGGAGGACAGGAGGAAGCCCGCAGATCATCCGCTAACACGCTGCCATGTTATAGAGTGGCCTGAGCAAGCTTGGATGCGGTGTGGGGGGCTGGGGAGGTGCGCAGCCTGAGGTGGGGGCAGGAAGCGGACACCTAACCAGGTTCCCAAAGTGACAGTGTTGAGAGGAGGCGGCTTGGCAGGGCAGTGCCGGGGAAGCGGGCAGCATGGGCCCTGGAGATTGAGCCGGAGCTCTCCCCACGCAGTCCACGCAGCGTGCTCAGGGCCCGGAATGGTTCCGGGCATCTCTAGCTAAGTCGTTAGGGTGAAGCCAGAAGAAGATCAGCTTCATCTGAGTGAAGATACAATGTCGGCCAAGCACCTTTACAGAACGTCAGCTCACGCAATTGCCCTGTAACTCGGATGCATTTCCCATTACAATGCTCATTTCACAGATGAAAAGCTGAGAGTGCACCCGAGCGCTTTGTCCAAGGTCAGGTAGCTCACCAGGCTCTGGGGATTCAGGATGTTTTTGGTGTAAATGCTTCCGCTTTAGCAGAGGCTTCTCTAAGTCGTCACAAGCGTAAAAGCTTTGCCGGGACGGGGCCGCCTAAACGTGGGGCATCGGTATTCATTCTGCGCTCTGTCTCACTCAGCCCACGGCACGCAGGGAGCCCCGGAAGGGGCGACAGTGAAGCCAACAGGTCCAGCAGCCTCTCATCATTTCCCGCACCTATTCTGCTTCCCTCTTTGGGGCACCTCTAGATAGAATCTCCTGCCAAATAGTTTGTTTCCCATAAGTTGCAAGATGTGGGTGGTTAAAAAAAAAAAAAAAAATCAGCAGCATCAACCAGGAGAACTCTTGCAGCAGGCTGAACACAAAGGCCTGGAGTTCTGAACAAAGGGCAGGGTGAGACGGAAAGTAAATGCTGACACAGCCTCTCCCCAGCTGTGAGCTGGGGGTCTGAGGGCTGCCGAAAAGGTCATCTGTCTCTGCATCTTTGGGCAGGAAATGCTATTCAGTCTTCTCAGTGACTGATCACTTCGCAAGATTAATGGAAGCCTCTCCAACACGGGTCTCTGTTCTGACAGCACACAAAAAAAGTGAATCAAACTACTCTCTTACTCTGAAAGGTCAGCTGATTTTACAAAGTTCGAAACTTTTCTCCAGGACGTTTATCCCTGAGTATTCCTTTGTTAGGTGAAATCCCAAAGCGGGGGACACCTGAGGGTTTCAGGACATTTCTAAGCTTTTCTTCTGCCCCTACTTCATCTTCCAAAATAAATGCAAAGGGCATGGTCCTCCCTGAAGGGGTTAACTGCCAGCCTTCTCGTCTGTCCCTCGGGACTTGGCAACCAATGACAATGGAGCATGATGAAGTAATGCCTGGCCTTTTATTTCCATTGGCTAACACACTTGTCCATCAACCCAAAGATGCAAGTTTTTAAAGAATCTTTGAACTTTTATGACTCTCTTCCTGGCATTAACCCTTCAATTAACTTGCCAATTATTTCCAAGTTTCTTTCCAGTCTTCACACAGGAAGACAGATATGAAAGGCAAATTTTTAGCTAGAAAATTAAGTCTTCCCGAAGTAGCCACAGCCTGACAACCAGTCTGTGTATAATTTTCCTCTGCCTTACTTTTTAATTTCAGTCTGGAGGCACTCAGGGGTAAAAAAGGAAAGGAAAAAAAAGGTATTTGAGAACAACCACTTACCAGAAATAGCATGGTCTGTTGCTCCTTGGAATTAAAATAAAATACATTTTAAATCTCAAAGTAATACAAAATATGGCAAGTCCTAAGACTTGGAGAAAGTGCTGGGTGCTAGATGCACAACTCTTTATTGTATTTATTTTCTATGCCTCATTTGTTTTTTGGCCGTGCTAGGATTAAACCCTGGGCCTGCACATGGTAGGCACCCTACTCCTGCCCTCCTTCCTTTACGCTTCAAGTATTTGAAGATTTAAAAGCCTTATAGGTGTAAACAATAAATGAAACATAATTCTTTTTTGTGGGCCTGGGAACCTGCGGCCTCATGCATGCTAGGTGAGCACTTGCTTTATGCCAGTGACCATCCCAAGGTAGTATTTGGCATCGTTTTAAGGATGCCGTGGAATGTTGCAAACAGTATACACAGCTACCTGCTCACCTTTTTGCAGTGCAGGGATTGAACACTGGGGCTCGTGTGCTAGGCAAGTGCTCTACCACTCAGCCACTCCCCCCAACTCTATCTTATTCTTTGTAATGATTCAGTATTGTTTCATCAGGCACATGGTGATTTAGTGTCTCAACTTTTAAGACTGTTCTCTGGTTTGACTCCATCACGGTGCTTGAGTTTGTCCACAGGATTCCTGCCCCGAGTCCCGTTATCGTTATCTGTCCTTGAAAAGCTTATGTGCAAGATCTGGGCAGGTGGGCCAATCACATACCCAGCTGGCATCCCCAGGTTTCCTCTTGGTGCCATGGTCCTGGCAGGCACTCTGGGCCAGTCGGTTAGACTAACACTGCAAGCATTCACACCATACCAGATGGCCTCTTCCCACTGGGACCCTTCATTCATTCCGCAAATGTTCTGGAGAGGTCGATTATGGGGACCCAAGGCCAATTTAGACCTTGAGGTATATACAGCAATAAGATAAATAGTGCAAAACACTCTGGGGTTACACTGTTTAATTTTTATTAAAATTTGTGCTCGAGGTATAGTGCAATGGCAGAGGGCATGCTTAGCCTGTGTGGCCGTGGGTTCAATCCCCAGCACAATAACACAAAGACCTTTAATCCCAGTACCCATACTCCAAGTGCTCAAAAGCCAGGATTCGGGTAGAGGTGCCTGCCTAAGTGGAGATACACATTATTTCCAACATGCTCGATGGCACAGCCCTGCAGGGAGGCTTACGCAGCGTTCACCCTTGTGAGCTTTGGAGTCCTACAAGCGCTGGGTTCAAATCCTATGGCGGCTGTTTCACAGCTGTAAAATTTGTTCCAGTAACTTGATCTCTCTTTGAGCTTAAGCTTTGAAAGTGGGGAATTAAAACCCCTTCCTCACAGAGCTTTGGCAAGAATTCAGAGAGATAGGGGGCTGGGGATTTAGCTCAGCGGCACAGCGCCTGCCTGGCAAGTGCAAGGTTGTGAGTTCGATACCTGGTGGTGGTGGGGGAACAACAACAATAAAAAAAGAATTCAGAGAGATAACAAGAGTGAGGGGCCTTGCTTAAAAGCAAGTTCTCCTAAAGTCAGGAGCTACTGTAAGTGGAGAAAGCCTGGCTTTCTCTACAGTCTTGGGTTCTGGTCCTAAACTTGTTCCATCTTCAGGCCAGGCCCAGAGCATGCCCATCAGCACCAGCAGAGCTGTTCCTCCTCTCTTCTTCCTTCTCTGCCTCTGGGAGGAGAGGGGCTCAGTCGGCCTTTGAGGGGGGGAAGCACAATGAAATGAATGAACGGGATAACACAGGCAGGATTTGATTGGGCCTTTCGCAAGGAAGGTCCAGGAAGTCATTATTTGTTTCCCATACAACTGGCTTGCTGTTTTCCTACCCACCCCCCACCGCCCCTGGAAAAAGCATCTTTTGCATAAGGACCTTCAGCTTCTGGCAGTTTCCTTACCTATTTCCAGCTCTTAGGGACAATCGGCCAAGCTGGAGCTCACGGGTCTGGGCCCTTCTCCCTCTGGCCCAAAATAACCTCCTCCCCCACTTGGAGCAAATGCTTGGAATTCTTTTAACTGGAGTACAAAGCCTTTCATCTGCCAATTACTGATAAAGAGAAAATGCAAATATGCTGGGGAAGGTGATCCATCAAGAGCCCAACATTTATTGAGTGACCACTTAGGATGGAGGCAGGGTTAGGCGTTCTCGGGGAGTCAAAGGGGAACAAACCCTGGCGGCTCATTCTTTGCTCAGGTTTGCAGTTTCCTGCAGGTTTGTAAAGGGAGGGGATTAAATTAGGTGACTAGCCAAGCCCTTCCTGCCCTGACAGCCAGGAACTCCCCGCAGAAGTGATATATGGACCTGTTTTACACTCAGGTGGCTGCTGGTGGACCTTTTCCTAATGCTGCCAGCTTCTGGGGGCACAACACGAAGCTACATGGGGCGCAGGCAGATGAAGACCAAGCACCCTATTTTCCAGTCATTGCACTTTATCTACTTTTTACCACCCTGCAGCCCAGGAGCCCTCCTTGAGCAGTTTATTTCACTTTGCAGGGGCAGCGACAGCTGAAAGGCATGCACTAGTCTTGCTGGGCTCCGACTGGAGTCCCACTTGCAAAGCTGTGTGATCTGGGGTGAGTGGCTTTGCCTTTTCAGTCCCAGTTTGCTTGCTTGCAAAATAGGGAGTAGCACCGTGGGTTTCTCTAAAGGGGTCCTCTCTCTCTCAAAAGAAGCAAATAAAATGGTCCCTGGCTCTTGACAGGGCTGAAGAGCCCTCGCCCAAGCTCAGGGCTGCTCTGGCCGCAGCAGGGTCAAGGCGGGTGACGTCTATTCCGAGACACATTTCAGTGTTTGTTAGCTTTCTTCCTACTTAGGATTTTTACAGCTTGTGAACGTGGATTAAAACAAACTTCGAAAAGTTGCCTTCAGGAATGGGTGAAAAACACTACAGATGATGCGACAGGAAATTTTAAGGTGAGCGGAGGTGATGCCGCCTCTCAAGGTGACATACATGGTTTACATCTGATCTGGGTCAGGAGCCACTTCCTCCCCACATCTGTCTGGTTGCTTACTGACATGGAGGTGACACGGCGGAACAATCACACAGATGTGTGACTTCTCCGGACCTCAGCTTCCCAATCTGCAAAATGACCCCTCCAACTAGCCCACAGGGTTAATGGCAGAAATAAAGTGCCACGTTAAATTGGGCGCAGTGGCGCATGCTTGTAATCCCGGCTACTTGGGAAGCTAAGGCAGGAGGATGAAAAGTCTGAGGTCAGGCCTGGGTGTGGTGATGCATGCTTGTAATCTCAAGGTGAGGCAGGAGGATCGAAAGTTCAAACCCAATCTGGTCAATTTAGTGAGACTCTATTAAAAAAAGACAACAAAAAAAACCACCTGAGGATGTTTCTCAGTGCAAAGGCCCTACATTAAATTCCCAGTACCACACCAAAAAATAAAAATTAAAAGAAAAAAAACATAGTATTTTTTGAAAGTGCCTAGGGTAAGATCCTGGCAAGATTCTAACCTCAGCCGGGCGTGGTGGCGCACACCTGTAATCCTAGCACTGGGGAGGCTGAGGCAGGAGGATGGTTGCGAGTTCAAGACCAGCCTGGGCTACAAAGTGAGCTCAAGGCCAGTCTGGACTGCACAGCGAGACAATGTCTCAAAAAAAAAAAAAAAAAAAAAAAAACCATCTCAAAAAAAAAAGAAAAAAAGAAAGAAAGCAGCAGTGTAGACCCGCGTTCCCTGAATTTAGTCCTCAGCACTGCAAAAACAAAACATGTTAATGCCTGCTACTGTCTATGGACATATGATGATTTTATTGTGGCCCTTGTGCCATGTTATCTTATCAGGATGTGCCCCCAAGACCAGACCCTGCATGGCACAGGAGTTGGGCTACAGGAAATTCAGGATCAGCTTTTCTTAAAACTGAAGTGGACCTGAGTGATGCACGTGACGGGATGGCAAGGTCCACCGGGGAAGTCACAGGCCCTAGGGTGGAGGGCAGGGGACCTCCGGCAGCTAGGGACATGCCAAATGCGCAGGAAGGGTGCCCATCCCTCCGCTAAGAAGCAGTGCGCGATCAAATCAAGGTGCGCCCCAAGCTTCTGTGCCCCCTCCCGGACAACCTCACGCCTTCACACCACTTTTATACAGAGCCAACACGGCTTACCTTTGGCTCGTTTGGGAGCTGCGTTAGGAGCGCTAGGTCCGATTCTGTGGGTATCTCCTTCCTGAACGTCAATTTCTTCCTCCTGAGGAACGCAAGGACCTTTACAAAAAGTCCAACTTATGTTTCAGGGCTGGTTGCCTATTAAAGGACTCCGCCGAGGCGAGCAGAATGAATGAATGAAAAGGCAGCGGCTTCCGGTCAGCTGCGGTCTGAAGCAGCTTTGGTCTGGTTGTATTTCCTGTACCTGTAGGTGCGTGTGGCCCAATTATCTTTCAGTTCAGGGAGTTTAAAAGTTATGCAGACCATCCAGATACGGAGCTGCGCCAATTTGCTTCTGGCCCCGCAAATGCCCCTTCCATATGGCAAGTTCGCAAACGGGGATCTGGACAGGATCGCCCCTCCCCCTCCGAAAGACATGAAGTAGAAAAAAAAATTACATATACAAAATGCTTTGTATGTGGGTCGCCAACGCAGGTAATTGGATCGAGTGTCTGAAGAAAGCCGTGGGTAAAGGAGCAGGGACTGAGGTGGGGGGTCGTTTTGGGGGGGGGTGCCAGGCCCCGGGGGCTTCCTCGCCAGCAAGCTCGGCTTGCATTTCCGCGCCTCCCGCTGAGGCCAGCCGTGCAAATCTGCACCTCCCTCCCCACCCCCTCCTCCTTCCCTCCCTCCTGCCCCGCCATCGCCGGGATGCGCCCGCCGCCTGCAACTCAGCCCTCCAAAAGTCAGCTCTGCACACAACTCCGGGGCGGCGGCGGCGCCTGCGTGCAGAGGCGCACTCGTGACCCAACAACAAAACAGCGATGCCAGGGCGCTAACGGCGCCCGGTGCCTCCCGAGCTCCCTCCCCGCCCCGCACCTCCTCGGGCCCCCGCCCCCCAGGCCCCCATCCCGGCCTGAACGCCCCCCCACACTCGCCCGGCCGCGGGCTGCGAGCGCGATCGGCAACAATGTTTACGTTCCGGGGATTATGACGTCGACGCCTCCCCCCCCAACTGCTGAAAATGGTTTCCTAGGACTTTGCAAACGGATCTGCCTAAGTGTTGGTGCAAAACTTTGTAGATCTCGGCTCTGGCTTGCTCTATTTATTTATTTTTTGGTTTGTTTTCTTTGCTCTTCCCTCCTCCCCCCCTCCGCCAAAATGCAGGGGGCAGGGGTGTTGACAATTAATTGGTGAACTCTCCTAAAAAAATGGAGGCAGAGAAAGACTCTGGAAGAAGATTGGTGTGTAGCTTTTTTTTTTTTTTCAAATCTGTATCTGGTATACGATAGATCTATTTTTAATTTTTTTTTTTCTTGGTTGTTTCTTGCTGCCTTTTCTTTCCTTTTTTTTCTGTGTTTTGCAAGAGGACCGGAAAAAAATAATAAATTGCATGCAAAAGGAAGCAAGCCGCTTACTCCTCCAGTCCCTTGTGAGGCTCAGAGTCTCAGACACTTAAGTGGGGAGGTGGTAGCGCGGAAAGGCGTAGAGGGGGGCTGAGCGGGCTCGGGGTTCGCCCGGATTCCGGGGGCTGCGGGGCCGGGCGCCGGAGGGAGGAGGCAGGGGATGCGGGGAGTGGTGGGGGAGTCTCCTTAGGAAGTGAGTGTGCGCGCGCGCTCGTGGGGAGATGAGGCAGCTGCTGGTGCGTTTTGGGGTCTCAGATGGGAGCTTTGTGGCGGGCCGTCTGCCTCTCCCCCTCCCAAGCCCGGGACCTCTTCCTCTCACCTTCTCTTCTTGAACTGGCGGTCGGTCGGCGGGGGCGGCTGGGGTCTCAGCCCTTCCATTTCAGCTTTCCAGCTCCCGCGGTAGCTCGGGGGCGGCTCCAGCCTCAGCGCTGCCGCCGGCCCCCGGTTCCGGCTTCCCGGCTCTGCCGCCGCGGCCGGCGGGGCTGCTGCGAGCGCCGAGCCCGGCGCCGCTGCGGCTCCTCCCGGGGCCTACATCTGCCCCGCCGGCCGGTGCTCGGAGCCCCCTTCGCGGGTTACATAACCAGGCGCCCAGCTGGGTGGGCAAAGCTCGGCACATCCCGGGGTGGGGGGCAAGGGAGAGCCCCTAGATGCCCCTGCTCTGGCTTCCAAAGATGCAGGAGGGGTGTGCTTCGTGTAGGGCGCAGCCGGACCCTCGGGGCGTGGGCCCCTCTCCTTTTCCTGCTTTTCAGCATCTTTGGCATTTGCGCAAAGTTGTTCAGATTGCAGTGGTGGGGTGCAGGGGGGCGCGCGGCTCCTGCACCTGTTCGTGCTGGGCCCACGGTTACAGGAGACCCCCAGTTCCCTCAGTAATGTCCCGGGCTCTCTGGTTGGGTCCCCGCAGCGTCCGATTGACCGCCAGAGATACGACGAGAACGAAGACTTGTCGGACGTGGAGGAGATCGTCAGCGTCCGCGGCTTCAGCCTGGAGGAGAAGCTGCGCAGCCAGCTGTACCAGGGGGACTTCGTGCACGCCATGGAGGGCAAAGGTGAGGCGCCCCCTCCCCGGGCCGCCCTCCGCCGCGGGCCGCGTGCACGTGGGGAGGGAGCTGCCGGTGGCTGGGTTCGTATTTCGCGCCCGCGTCCCCCATTCCAGGGGATCCGGTGACGAAACGAGGCCGAGCACTGGGGGGTGGGGTGGGGTGGCGAGGGAGGAGGGCAGGCGGGAAGGGGGCCGGGCACGGGCCTAGGCCCAGCCTGCACCCACCACCAGCCCCGGATGGGCAGAGCCTGGTGGCTGCGGACGCAGGGGGACCTGGGGACGGACACTCGGAATGAGAGGGGGTGGGAGCTCCGCGTCCTCCCCCTCCCCAGCCGGTCGCGCTCCCTGCGCTGGCTGAGGTGCAGTTGCCGGGCTGGATGGCTGCTGGGGCGCCCCTGGGATACCCCTGGGGTGTGGGGGCTGAGGCCCCCCGAGGCTTGAAGTCTCTCAAGTCCCTGTACTTCTGAACCCTTCTATTTAGAAACTGGCAGAGCCCCGGTTGCGGGGCCTTTGGATCATTGGGGTGATACCCCTGCAGGCCTGGCCTCTGGTGAGCCCAGTTGCCTCGTGGGCCACTGCCAGCTTGAGCAGGGACCCGTTGCTCTCAGTTGCTGGTTGTTGGCCTGAACCCCATGGAAGCCTGAGGCCTCTGGCTGCACCCCTGACAGTTTGAAGCAGCCAGTGGGGTTATGGGTGACTTCCTTTTAGGCTTAAGGGTGAGATCCCTGTCCCCTGACAGTTTGAAGGCCGGGATCGGGATCCGGGCATCACTCCGAGAAACAGTCTGTCTTAGGCCTGAGGTCCTTGGTCTCCGGCTCCTCCAGTGCAGAGCACTTTTGGAAAGCCACCTGCAGGACCTGGGTTTCTGTCTGGCCCTCCTACTAGGAGAGAGGCTGGGGTGCCCCCCAGATGTTGGGGTGCTGCTCCTGCTTAGGTCTGTGGCTTCGAGAGCCCTGACCTGAGTGAGCCTGGGGTTGAGCATGGTCTCGGGTCCTGGAGCCCGACCTGGAAGATGCCTTTGGAGTGTGGAGATGCCTTTGCCTGCCCTGGCTGCCTTTGCTTCCTGGGCTGTGGGGTCCTTGTCTCTCCTCGCAAAAGTTTGAGTTTTAGTTACTCGGTGTCCATCTTGTGCATCCCCACACCCCTGCCCCTCGAAAAGCCCCTTCCTCTGGGTGAGCTGACAGCTGGGCAGGCGCCTCCCTCCAGGTTCTGGTTGAGTGGCTGGGGCCATGGGTTACCCCCAAGCCACTGTCCCGGCTTTGCATTTTTGAAGTTTCTCTTTTGTACTGGTTGCCTCCTGGGGCACTGGGCTGGGTGGGTTGGGGGAGAAGAGGCGGGAGGGAAGAAGACATTTTTCCCAGCCTGCCCAGTCCAAGAGCAGGGTGCCAATCCCAGCTGCATTTAAATTTCCTCCACATAAATTGGATTTCAGCCCCCCTAACACACACGCTGTACTGAGGCGTTTGGCAGAGCCTATGAGAAAATACTATGCAAACTTCCTAGTTATTTGTCAGGAATCGTCAGCCTAGGATTTCAGATTTTTTTTTTTCAGGGTCATTTAAGGAAGTTGAAGCAGGGGGTGGGGGTGGGGGGCAGGTAGGCAGGGTTGCCAGGGAGAGAACCCTACGGGGCATCTGCGAAGCTGCTGTCCTGGTTCCTTTCAAAGGACAGGGCCTTAGGGTTTTGCTAGTTAATTCAGATCTGGCCCCAAAACTCAAGGGAGGAGCTCAGAAACTGAAGGAGCCCTTAGCGTGGATTCAAAATAGAAGCTTCTTAAACTTCCCTTCCTTTAAATCCTTAGGAATCCCCATTCACCGCGAGCCCCTGGGGATGGGAGCCGCTGAGGTCAGGGCTTTCCCTGCGTCGGGTTTTGTTCTCTCTCTTCTGAGCCAGTTGCCCGGGCTGCCTCCTCCCCCAAGGCTGCCCGGGGGAACCATTTCTCCGGGCAGCAGCAGCTCCAGGGGCCGGGGACTCCTCTCTCTCCCTCTGACCAGCCAGGGAGGGCTTGTGGCCTCCAGGATTGCTGTAGCCCCTTGAGGGTTTGGGGAACAGGAGGACTCATCTCAGCGTCTTTCACCTCCCCGTTCAGAGGCGTGGGGTCCGATCTCTACCGGTTTGGGGATTGAGGACGGAGAGCAGTTAGTCCCAGGCCTCCTTGGTTCTCAAGGGCTTTGGGGGAGGATGTAGGGTCTGCACCAGGGCGATGCCGGGCGGAATCTACCCTGTGGGCTTTTCTTTGGGCTCCTCGTGCCCCTCGCGCAGTCCACCTGGAGCGCATCCCTCTTGGTTATCCAGTTCCAGCAAGTCCTGTGATGCCCCAGCAGAATTCCTCTCCGGAGACAACAAAGCTGTGCCCAGTTCCCTAGTTATTTTGGCACCAAATACACAGTTTCCAGGGAAACCGGCTTCCCCCCTCCCCTTTTCCATGCAGGATATTACAATAAGATTTTCACTGACGTTCAGCGGCAGGGAGAGCCCTCCTCCCTGCCTCTCCTCTTGGGGCTTCAGATCCTCCCAGGTGGCGTCCTTCAGTTTTGTGGTCCCTTTCCTCTCCGAGCTCAGCCTGCAATGCATTTGTCTGTCTGTTCCCGCGTCTCTCCCAGCAGTAGCTGGGCTTGTTCAGCGTGGGCCTTTCTGAGTCTCCTCCCCAGCCCTGGCTGGCCCGGGGCTGTTCATTGACAAGTTTGAACCCGTGGGGCGCGCGGAGAATGGCTGAGTAGGCGGAGGAGCCAACTGTGGGCCTGGCCTCTCGTGGGCTTTGCGCCCCATCGTCCCACAAGCTCCTGGCCTTGGAGCCAGCGTCTGTGTCCAGCAGGTCCCTGCCCCTTCCTCTGTCATTTCTCTTCCGATAGATCGTGGTTCATTTGCTCCTGAATAACTTAACCAACTTGTTTTAATTCAAATATCCAAACAGATTTCAACTATGAGTACGTACAGAGAGAAGCTCTCAGGGTACCCCTGATATTTCGAGAAAAGGACGGACTAGGAATTAAGTAAGTTGTTGAAACTCATTGCTTCTTCTGTCTTCCTCCCTAACACAGTGATAGCTTGGGGATGGATTTCTTCTTGTTCTTCCCGCTGCTGCTCACCGCACAGGGCCTTCCCCGTGACCTGGCAGTAGCATCTCCTGACCAGAGGAAAGGGTGTCTTTCTCAAGCATTCGGGCAGTGAGGACGTAGGGTGCTTAAGCGGTGATGCCCCCCCATGTGCCCTGGGTCCATGCCACGGCCTTCTGCTGAGAAGGGTAGCTCTCCTCCTCTCCTAATCTCAAACTGGCAAACTGAGGCAGAACCTGCGCTGTGGCCCTGGAAGGCGATGTCTTCAGAGACTGGCCAGTGTGCAGAGCGGGCCCTTGCAGAGGACTCATTGCCAGGGGTCTGCAGGACCTGCAGGTAGGAAAGAGACCGAGGCAGGCTGGAAGAACAGGTTCTACCCTTGGCGGAGGTCGGGGTCGGGGGAGGCGCACGGTGTCACCC